GACAGTGACAGTGACAGTGACAGTGACAGGGACAGTGACAGGGACAGTGACAGTGACAGTGCCAGTGCCAGAGACAGGGACAGTGACAGTGACAGGGACAGTGACAGGGACAGGGACAGCCCCTGCCCCGTGCCCTGGTCAGCCTGGGACAGAGACAGTGACAGTGACAGTGACAGTGACAGGGACAGTGACAGGGACAGTGACAGTGACAGTGCCAGTGCCAGAGACAGGGACAGTGACAGTGACAGGGACAGTGACAGGGACAGGGACAGCCCCTGCCCCGTGCCCTGGTCACCCTGTGACACTGGCAGTGACAGTGACAGGGACAGGGACAGGGACGGTGGCAGAGACAGTGCCAGAGACAGGGACAGTGACAGTGACAGTGACAGTGACAGTGCCAGTGCCGCCCCTGGCCGCCCCTCCCCCGGCCACAGCCACCCTCAGGGCAGTGGAGCTCGGAGCGGTCTCGGGTTTTCTCTGGCTGAGACGATCCCGAGGTGTGTTAAAATCTCTTTTCCCAACCCAGCAGCAGAAAAGGAGTCGAGAGGGCTCCGGCTCACGTCCTCAGGGTTGTTTATTACATTTTATCTCAAACATTTTCTGTCTGGCCTGCCGAGGTCTGTTCTGCAGGCACACTCTGCCTCTGGGGCTGGGGCTTTCATACTAAAAACTACCTATACCATGTTTGCAATTATGTTCCAATACCTATCACCTGTATTGGTGACTTTCTACTCCAAACCAATCTGTGAGTGCCAACATCATCCTGAACACGGATGCCAGGGAGAAGGAAGAAGAAGGACAGGGCACACCCAAATCCCTCCATATTGAACCCCTGACCCCCATGCAGAGAACCCCAAACCCCCTGTACAAGGCCCAAAACCCCCCTGCACAGTGCTCCAGAAGTTTTCCCTTCACCCTGTGATTGCTACTGCTATGCTACTTAAACTTTTGTGACTTTAACTCTTCACACGAAGGTGGTAACTTGCTCTGTGGGTCGAACTCAAGCCACAGGGGTCTTTGCTGCACGCCAGGGTCCCTGAGCCCCCTGCCCGGCCTTCAAAGCCCCCTGGCTGGGGCTCGGGTCACCCAGGACGGGCAGGGGGGTGTCCTGGGCTCCCACAGGTGGGATCAAGTGTGGAATTGTCCCCTTTCCTGGAGGAAGGAATCCTCTGCCTCAGGGCTCTGCGCTGGCCCTGAGCTGCCCGGGCACTCCTGGTCACCCTGCTGGACAGCAGCAGTGGCCTGGTCACCCTGCTGGACCAGTGGCCTGGTCACCCTGCTGGACCAGTGACCACCAGTGACCTGGTCACCCTGCTGGACATCAGCAGCGGCCTGGTCACCCTGCTGGACCAGTGGCCTGGTCACCCTGCTGGACAGCAGCAGTGGCCTGGTCACCCTGCTGGACCAGTGACCACCAGTGACCTGGTCACCCTGCTGGACATCAGCAGTGACTTGGTCACCCTGCTGGACATCAGCAGCAGCCTGGTCACCCTGCTGGACATCAGCAGTGACCTGGTCACCCTGCTGGACAGCAGCAGTGACCTGGTCACCCTGCTGGACATCAGCAGTGGCCTGGTCACCCTGCTGGACATCTACAGTGACCTGGTCACCCTGCTGGACCAGTGGCCTGGTCACCCTGCTGGACAGCAGCAGTGGCCTGGTCACCCTGCTGGACAGCAGCAGTGGCCTGGTCACCCTGCTGGACCAGTGACCACCAGTGACCTGGTCACCCTGCTGGACATCAGCAGTGGCCTGGTCACCCTGCTGGACAGCAGCAGTGACCTGGTCACCCTGCTGGACAGCAGCAGCGGCCTGGTCACCCTGCTGGACATCAGCAGTGGCCTGGTCACCCTGCTGGACAGCTGCAGTGACCTGGTCACCCTGCTGGACAGCAGCAGCGGCCTGGTCACCCTGCTGGACATCAGCAGTGGCCTGGTCACCCTGCTGGACATCTATAGTGACCTGGTCACCCTGCTGGACCAGTGGCCTGGTCACCCTGCTGGACCAGTGACCACCAGTGGCCTGGTCACCCTGCTGGACCTCAGCAGTGGCCTGGTCACCCTGCTGGACCAGTGACCACCAGTGGCCTGGTCACCCTGCTGGACCAGTGACCACCAGTGGCCTGGTCACCCTGCTGGACCAGTGACCACCAGTGGCCTGGTCACCCTGCTGGACCAGTGACCACCAGTGGCCTGGTCACCCTGCTGGACCAGTGACCACCAGTGGCCTGGTCACCCTGCTGGACCAGTGACCAGCAGTGGCCTGGTCACCCTGCTGGACCAGTGACCACCAGTGACCTGGTCACCCTGCTGGACATCAGCAGTGACTTGGTCACCCTGCTGGACATCAGCAGCAGCCTGGTCACCCTGCTGGACATCAGCAGTGACCTGGTCACCCTGCTGGACCAGTGACCACCATGGCCCCATCACGGCCAGGAGAGCATGGGCACACAGCTGGGTGATGGTTTGGAATACAAAGAAATTGAAGAAACTAATACAAAACTTTTTGGGTAACTAATAGTCTGTTAAACTACTAAAAAACTAAATACGTTTTTTGTGAAACACACATGTTGAAGTTTTAAAATCTTAAAAATGCCTTTTTTTTTTCTTTTTAATTAACAAAAAAATACAACAACAACAACAACAACAAAAAAAAAAAAAAAAAAAAACAAAAAAAAAACCCCAAACAAAACCACTAATTTTGTGTAGTGGTTTTGGTTTGTTAATTTTGGATGTTTTGAGATTTTTTTAATGAGTATGGTGACTTTTAGTGTTGGCTAATTGTCAATGTATTTATTTTTTTGTTTTGAGACAGGACTAGGAGAAAGGTAAAGTAGGTTTAAGGTTTTAAAAGGGCACAAAGAAAATGTTAAACTTAATATCTTTATATTATTAAAAAAAATGACTAAAAAAATTTCTAAAAAATGTATTTATTTATTTTTTCTCCTACAAACTGGCACAGGGATCACCCCACAGGGCTGTGTGAAGGATGATGCTCGGGGCCTGCTGAAGACCCCCTGGCTCAGGGATGTCCCTGGAAGGGCTCCAGGCCAGGCTGGAGCAGGTGTCCCTGCTGGGTAATGTTCCCAAGCCCACCCAGAATCTCCTGCCTGGGACACTCAGTTGTTGTATGAAGTGAAAAATGGACATTTTGTTCTGCTTCCTGTGCTCTCTGTCGGCCTCTGTGTGTGATTAATATCAAATTATGAAGCAGCACTAATTGTGCAGGTTGCACAGGAAGGAGCAGGAGGGTGGTGGCACAGCCTCCCAGCACCTTTGTCTCCTGCAGGAGAGTGCAGTGCTTTGTCCAAGGGCTGCCCAGGCTCTGTCCTCTTCTCTGCCACGCTGGGCAACAGCAGGATTGGTTTTCTAACTAGAGGGTGGCCTCTGTACCCCAGCACTTCACCCAGAAACCACCAGGTTTTACTCTAAACCTACACTTGGCCATCATCCTCTGCTGAGTGGAGCATCAGGAGATCACCTGAGGAGGAAACCTTTCTGATCTCAGCACTGTAAGAGCAGCACCTCTGGGGCTCAGCTCTTCAAAGCTCTCCTGCTGCAGAGCTCGCCCCACTAAGGGGGCAGCTGGGGGAGGACTCACAAAACAAACCGTGGTGTCCTGCCCTCTGTGCCCCCACCACAGTGAGGGAGGGTCTGGGGTTTTCTAAGGGTCTGGGGATGTGCAGGAGTAGCTGAATCCTGAGGTGGCAGGACTATCTGAAATGCTTTTGCTGCAGTAGAATCAGCGCGCTGAGGGGGGTCTGTGGGTTTGTGTTGGTCCCCAACCACACCTGGTTCCTCACAACACGCATCAGGGATGCTGCCAGGTGTTAAAAAATTGGGAAACCACAAGTTACAAACCTGGAAAGCCACAAGTTCCAACCCGGGGAAGCCACAAGTTCCAACCCGGGGAAGCCACAAGTTCCAACCCGGGGAAGCCACAAGTTCCAACCCGGGGAAGCCACAAGTTCCAACCCGGGGAAGCCACAAGTTCCAACCCGGGGAAGCCACAAGTTACAAACCTGGGAAACCCACAAGTTTCAAACCTGGAAAGCCAGAAGTTAGAAACCTGGGAAAGCCACAAGTTAAAAACCTGGGAAAACCACAAATTACAAACCTGGAAAGCCAGAAGTTAGAAACCTGGGAAAGCCACAAATTAAAAACCTGGGAAAGCCACAAGTTCCAAACCTGGGAAGCCACAAGTTACAAACCTAGGAAACCACAAGTTACAATCCTGGGAAAGCCACAAGTTCCAAACCTGGAAAGCCACAAATTAAAAACCTGGGAAAGCCACAAGTTACAAACCTAGGAAACCACAAATTAAAAACCTGGGAAGCCACAAGTAAAAAACCTGGAAAACCACAAATTAAAAACCTGGAAAGCCACAAGTTAAAAACCTGGAAAGCCACAAATTAAAAACCTGGGAAAGCCACAAGTTCCAAACCTGGGACGCCACAAGTTCCAAACCTGGGAAAGCCACAAATTAAAAACCTGGAAAACCACAAATTAAAAACCTGGAAAAGCACAAGTTCCAAACCTGGAATGCCACAAGTTCCAGACCTGGAAAGCCACAAATGAAAAACCTGGGAATGCCACAAATTAAAAACCTGGGAAAGCCACAAGTTAAAAATCTGGAAAGCCACAAATTAAAAACCTGGGAAAGCCACAAGTTCCAAACCTGGGAAGCCACAAATTAAAAACCTGGAAAACCACAAATTAAAAACCTGGGAAGCCACAAATTAAAAACCTGGGAGACCCACAAATTAAAAACCTGGGAAGCCACAAATTAAAAACCTGGAAAAGCACAAGTTCCAGACCTGGGAAGCCACAGCAGGCCTGAGGAAGGGGCAGTCCTTGGGGACAGGCAGCAGGGGACCCTGGTGGGTCCATCAGCTGGAGCAGGGCTGAGGAACACGCTGCAGACCCTGTGCCTGAGGGGTTTGCCTTGCCACGGCTCCTGCACCTTCCAAGGAAGGACAGATGGACACAGAACAAACAGGGATGCCCGGGAAGGCTGGAAAATGAGGAAAGATCCAGCACCTGCGTGTCCTGCCACAACCAGGAGCTCCCAGCAGCTCGAGGCCCCTTCCCTCCTTGGTGCTCCTCACGGGCACGGGGCAGGGGGAGCCCCGAGATGGATCCTGGGGGTCCCCCCGGGGCTCGGGGAGCTGCTGGCCCCCTCCTGGGCTCAGAAAGGGACCCTGCACGGGGGGAAGGAGAGGCAGTGCTGGGGGAAACCAGCAGAGAGCTCTGGGCTGCCCCACCAAACTCGCTGTGGACGTGGAGAGCAGGGGACTGGGCACAGACGGGGCACTGCTGTTGGCATCCTGCCTCCCTGGAAGGGCTGCTCTGAGCTCTGCCCCTGCCCTTGGCACGGGGAGAAGGCATGCCCTTCTCCCAGAGGAGCTGCAGGGCTCAGGGGGGCCACCCCACAGCGCTCCTGCTGCTGCTGCAGCACCAAGAACTGGCTAAAAACGCCTAGAAGTGCTCACTGGCACCAGTCAGGTGCCCACTGGCACTGCTGAGATGCCCACTGGCACTGCTGAAATGTTCCTGGCACTCCTGAGATGTTCCTGGCACTCCTGAGGTGCCCACTGGCACTCCTGAGATGTTCACTGGCACTCCTGAGATGTTCCTGGCACTCCTGAAGTGCCCACTGGCACTCCTGAGATGTTACTGGCATGCCCTTCTCCCAGAGGAGCTGCAGGGCTCAGGGGGGCCACCCCACAGCGCTCCTGCTGCTGCTGCAGCACCAAGAACTGGCTAAAAACGCCTAGAAGTGCTCACTGGCACCAGTCAGGTGCCCACTGGCACTGCTGAGATGCCCACTGGCACTGCTGAAATGTTCCTGGCCTCCTGAGATGTTCACTGGCACTCCTGAGGTGTTCACTGGCAGTCCTGAGATATTCCTGGCACTCCTGAAGTGCCCACTGGCACTGCTGAGATGTTCACTGGCACTCCTGAGATGTTCCTGGCACTCCTGAGGTGTTCACTGGCACTCCTGAGATGTTCCACTGGCAGTCCTGGCATGCCCACTGGCACACCTGAGATGTTCACTGCACTCCTGAGATGTTACTGGCACTCCTGAGGTGCCCCCTGGCACCCCTGAGGTGCCCTCTGGCACTCTTGAGATGTTCACTGGCAGTCCTGGCATGCCCCCTAGCACTCCTGAGGTGTTCACTGGCACTCCTGAGATGTTCCTGGCACTCCTGATGTGCCCCCTGGCACTCCTGATGTTCCCCCTGGCACTCCTGAGGTGCCCCCTGGCACTCCTGATGTGCCCACTGGCACTCCTGAGATGTTCCTGGCACTCCTGATGTGCATCAGCCGAGGGCTCCGGTGCGCTGCCCAGGAATCAGGCCCGTGATTCCCGGCAGCATTTCCCAGGAGCACCACGAGGTCCACAGGGATAATCACAGAAATACTGAAGTTGGAGAAGACCTCCTGATGTGCATCAGCCGAGGGCTGCGGTGCGCTGCCCAGGAATCAGGCCCGTGATTCCCGGCAGGATTTCCCAGGAGCACCACGAGGTCCATAGGGATAATCACAGAAATATTGAAGTTGGAGAAGACCTCCAAGGCCACCAAGTCCAGCCTTTGTGGACTGCTGTCCATCCCTTGGCTCTGCCCACACCTGTGCCACAGGGACAGGGGGATTTTCTGTCCTTTCTCCGCTGGCAGAGAGGGGAACACCAAGGACAGCTGGAGGTTCAGCTTCCAGAGGTGATGTCCACAAAGAACCTCCAGGTCTGCCAGAGATGGGAACAGCAGGCCCTGCTGCTGTTCTGCTCCCAGCTCCACATTCCAGGATGCTCCTGGAGCATGAAGATGAGAAGCTCTGGACGGGCCAACAAGGAGAAAAGAGCGTTGAAACCCCTTGTGGTTCTTCTGGCAGGCTTCTAAACACGGCACGTTTGTAAGGTTCTGTTCTTAAATACTTTGTAGGTGTAACTTCCCTTCGGGGAAGATCATCTTCACAGAAATTAACTTCATTAACTCCAAAAGATTTGAAATGTGCCTCCAGATTTGGTCCAGGGCACGGGAAAGGGGTTTGAGATGATTGCCTTGACACGGTGAGTTACGGGTGTGCTGTACCTGGGACCAGGGGATGGTGGGGTGGGAAGGGTCTTAAAGATCACCTGGTTCCAAAACCTCCGGGACACTGCCACTGTGCCAGGGTGTCCCAGTGTCCAGCCGCTCTGGGCACCTCCCAGGGCACAATTCCTCCCCAGCCCTCCCTCCATGCCCGCCCACGCCGCGGCGGCTCGGCCCGGGGTGCCCACCTTGTGTGAAGGCCTCGTGCACGTCGTCCCCGAGTCCTGCCAGCGCGTCCTGGGCGCCGTGCGTGGGCGTGGAGCCGGCCGAGGCACCGGGCTGGGCACCAATCCTGGGGAAACACACAGATACACAAAGAGGGCACCGTGCTCTGGGCACCAGGCCTGGGGAAACACATACAGGGCACCGTGCTGGGCACCAATCCTGGGGAGACACTCACAGGGCACTGTGCTGGGCACCAGGCCTGGGGAGACACACACAGGGCACCGTGATGGGCACCAGGCCTGGGGAGACACACACAGGGCACCGAGCTGGGCACCAGGCCTGGGGAGACACACACAGGGCACCGTGCTCTGGGCACCAGGCCTGGGGAGACACATACAGGGCACCGTGCTGGGCACCAGGCCTGGGGAGACACACACAGGGCACCGTGCTGGGCACCAGGCCTGGGGAGACACACACAGAGGGCACCGAGCTGGGCATCAGGCCTGGGGAGACACACACAGGGCACCGTGCTGGGCACCAGGCCTGGGGAGACACACACAGAGGGCACCGAGCTGGGCATCAGGCCTGGGGAGACACACACAGGGCACCGAGCTGGGCACCAGGCCTGGGGAGACACACACAGGGCACCGTGCTCTGGGCACCAGGCCTGGGGAGACACATACAGGGCACCGTGCTGGGCACCAGGCCTGGGGAGACACACACAGAGGGCACCGAGCTGGGCATCAGGCCTGGGGAGACACACACAGGGCACCGAGCTGGGCACCAGGCCGGGGGAGACACACAGAGGGCACCGAGCTGGGCACCAATCCTGGGGAGACACACAGAGGGCACAGAGCTGGGCACCAGGCCTGGGGAGACACACACAGGGCACCGAGCTGGGCACCAGGCCGGGGGAGACACACAGAGGGCACCGTGCTGGGCACCAGGCCTGGGGAGACACACACAGGGCACCGTGCTGGGCACCAGGTATGGGGAGACACACACAGGGCACCGAGCTGGGCACCAGGCCTCGGGAGACACACACAGGGCACCGTGCTGGGCACCAGGTATGGGGAAACACACACAGGGCACCGTGCTGGGCACCAGGCCTGGGGAGACACACACAGGGCACCGTGCTGGGCACCAGGCCTGGGGAGACACACACAGGGCACCGTGCTGGGCACCAATCCTGCACAAACACACACAGACACACAGCGGGCACCGTGCTGGGCACCAGGCCTTGGGTGGGATGTGATGCACGGGCAGGGGCAGCTGTGGGAGGTGTCGGCACCACGGGCATGGAACTGCATTGAGGTATTTTTAAATTTTGATGTGTTTTTATCTATTTTTGTCTGTTTTGAGATGGTTTTTATAAAATCATGTGCTTTGTATGTTCTATGCAAACATTTATATATTTGTATATTACATATGTGGATATTTATTTATGTTTATGTATTTATTTTTATAATTCTATATAATATAATTTTATATTTATATGTAATATATATTCTATAAATCAATATCATATAAATATATAATATATAATGTATAATATGTATTTGCATATAATATTAATATATGACATCAAATACGTTATATTTATCTTTATATAATGTAACTATATAAAATATAAAATATAATTATATAGTGCAAATATTCATATATTACATATATATTAATATAAATTTAATATGCATATACTAATAGATCAAATATATAATACACATAATATTTATATACTAGAAACGCACCAAATCACCAAATCAGAGCAGGAACACCCACCCCAAAACACACCCAAACACCAAATCAGACCTGCAACACCCACCCCAAAATACACCCAATACCAAATGAGAGCAGGAACACCCACTCCAAAACACACCCAAACACCAAATCAGACCTGCAACCACAAAATGCAGCAAAACACCAAATCTGACCTGAAACCCCAAAATGCACCAAATTACCAAATCCTACCTGCAACACCCACCCCAAAACACACCCAAACACCAAATCTGACCTGAAGCCCCAAACTGCACCAAATCACCAAATCTGACCTGAAGCCCCAAAATGCACCAAATCACCAAATCCTGCCTGCAACACCCACCCCAAAATGCACCCAATGCCAAATCAGACCAGGAACACCCACTCCAAACCACACCAAATCACCAAATCAGACCTGCAACCACAAAATGCGGCAAATGCCAAATCTGACCTGAAACCCCAAAATGCACCAAATGCCAAAATCAGACCTGCAACCACAAAATGCGGCAAATGCCAAATCTGACCTGAAACCCCAAAATGCACCAAATTACCAAATCCTACCTGCAACACCCACCCCAAAACACACCCAAACACCAAATCAGACCTGCAACCCCAAAACGCACCAAAACATCACATCAGACCTGAAACCCCAAAATGCACCAAATGCCAAATCAGACCTGAAAGCCCAAAATGCAGCAAAACACCAATAAGACCTGAAACCCCAAACTGCACCACAACACCAAATCAGACCTGCAACACCCGCCCCAAAACGCACAAAAAAAGTGCAGGAGTGTCTGAATTTGCATCAATTTGTGGCACAAGGTGCCCACGCCTGAAGCTCTCCCAGCACAGCCTGTGGGACACGGATGGGGACAGTGGCAGCTGTCACCTGTCCCATGGCTCTGGTTTAGAAGAACAGGCTCTGGCCTCCTCCTCTTCCTCCTCCTCCTCCTCCTCCTCCCAGCCTGAGCCTCAGCAGCCACGCAGGGAGGGAAACCAGCCCATGAAGGTGGAAAAGAGGAGAGGGCCAGCCCCGAGTCCTGGATCAGAGATGGGCCAGGCCCACAGCTGTCCTTCCCCAGGAGGGAGCCGAGGAGGGGCTGGGAATGTTTTCTGTTTGAATATTTTCTGGTTTGGAGCTCGTGGCCCAGGTCCCGTCCTGTGGGACCTCAGCACGTGCTGCTGCTAGCCCTGGAGACTCCAGGTGTGAGGAGAGGAGAAGTCACAGAGCTCTTGTTGTTTGGAATCACTGAGGGTGGAGAAGAGCTGCAAGATCAGCAGGTCCAGGCTGTGCCTGATCCTTGTCCCCAGCTCAGGGCATGAGTGCCATGTTCCCTGGACTTTGGGCACTCCAAACCTCGCTGGGCAGCCCCTGCCAAGGCCTGAGGATGTGCCAGGAGGAGAGGTGGCAGCTCAGTTCCTGCAGTCAGATCTCAGGGCTCACTGTGTGCCAAACACATCTGCCCAAACTGTGAGGGGACAGAATTTCCAGCGTGTGACAAGCCCAGCCCAGCTCACGTGTCCCCACCCTGGCCACAGTGGGCTGTGCAGTTCATTGAACCCCAGAGTGGTTGGGGTGGGAAGGGACCTTAAATCCCACCCAGTGCCACCCCTGCCATGGCAGGGACACTGCCACTGTCCCAGGCTGCTCCAGCCCCAGTGTCCAACCTGGCCTTGGGCACTGCCAGGGATGCAGGGGCAGCCCCAGCTGTGCCAGGGCCTGCCCACCCTGCCAGGGAACAATTCCTAATTCCCAACATCCCATCCAGCCCTGGCCCTTGTCCCCTGTCCCACCACTCCAGGTGTGCTCACTCCTTGGACCAAGGCACACCGTGACCCCCAGGCTGGCAGTGCCCACTCCCGTCACACCCAGGCAAGAGGAAACCTTTATGTCACCAACGCTGGTCTTTGAGACACACCCTGCACAGGATATTCTTTCAGAAGGTGCCCGAACCCTTGAACGTTCCATTTTGATCGTTTTTCACCGCTTGGCAGCAGCTGGCTGGGCTGATTTGCATTCCACGGCCAGCGGAGCAGCGGGGCTGGGAACGTCCCTGACCCGCGGGTGACACGGTTCCTGGAAAACACCGTGGCCGTCACAGCAGCCCCTGAGGTCACGGCACATCCTGAGGGGGATGGGGACAGGGCAGGCTGCTCCCCCTGCCCGTGCAGCCCCCGGGGTGACGGAGCCACGCGGGGCTCAGAGGGGGATCCGAAAGTTGTGGGTTCAGTGGAGCCTTGAGCTTTGCCTTCCTAGAAACACGTGCAGGGCCCCTGGCTGGAGCACCCCTCACTCCTGACCCCAGAGTGGTGACAAAGCAGCTCCTGGCCAGCACCGACCCCACTGAGCTGCACCTCCCAAAGGCAGGCTGGAATGGTGGAGCCACGGAGCCACTGAGGCTGGAAATCCCTCCCAGACCATGGAGACAACCATCCCAGCAGTGCCCAGGCCACCAGAGTCCCCTGTCCCCAAGTGCCACAGCCACAGGGCTTTGAAACCCTCCAGGGATGGGGAGCCCACCCCAGCCTGGGCAGCTGTGCCAGGCACGGACAGCCCTTTCCAGGTGGGAATTGTTCCCAATATCCACCCTGTGCCAGGCATGGGCAGCCCTTTCCAGGTGGGAATTGTCCCCAATATCCACCCTGTGCCAGGCATGGGCAGCCCTTTCCAGGTGGGAATTGTCCCCAATGTCCACCCTGTGCCTGGCCCAGCCTGAGGCCATTTCCCCCTGTCCTGTCCCTGTTCCCTGGAGCAGAGCCCGACCCCAAACACCTCGGGCTGAGCCACAGCCGCGTGTGTGGCTCCTGTTCCAAACCTCTCCAGGTTTCCATCTCCAGAAGGAAACAATGCCATCTCCTTACGGATGATGTCTCCAAGGCCACATCCCCAGGGAGTGGGGACAACACCTGAACAGGTCCAGGATGGAAAAGGGACCTGCCAGAGGCTCCCTGGGCTGAAAAGGATCTGGGAGGGTGACGGCTCCTTCCTGCCCTGACTGAGCACTGCGGCTTTCCCAGGCCCCGAGGCAGCAGGGCACGGCGGAGCTGAGCTGCACTGGCCCCTGGGCTGTGCCAGCTCTGGGGTGGCAGCAGGGCCAGGGCAGTGCCCGAAAGGAAAGGAAAGGAAAGGAAAGGAAAGGAAAGGAAAGGAAAGGAAAGGAAAGGAAAGGAAAGGAAAGGAAAGGAAAGGAAAGGAAAGGAAAGGAAAGGAAAGGAAAGGAAAGGAAAGGAAAGGAAAGGAAAGGAAAGGAAAGGAAAGGAAAGGAAAGGAAAGGAAAGGAAAGGAAAGGAAAGGAAAGGAAAGGAAAGGAAAGGAAAGGAAAGGAAAGGAAAGGAAAGGAAAGGAAAGGAAAGGAAAGGAAAGGAAAG